CTGCAGAATGATGGCTCTGTGCAATTCTGCTTGATCCAGGCTCACAGGATTGGCTCCTGGGACCACAAACCAACTGGGAATACCAAGTTTTTGACACTATGAAAGTCCTCACGTGGCAAACATTAAAAGTCACTTAATGTGTGTACTGATCTCTACTTCGGCTCCCCAATTTATGATTTTTTCTTGTTCAAACTGATGGATGAACTGAATGTTTTTAATTATTTCCAGGGTATGCCCTTCAGAATTGCATTGCCTTCCCCACATACAGTACTTCTGTCCAGAGACTCCCTTGCTTCATTAAGATGGAAAGTCATTTCAGTTACAAAAAGCCAGAGTAATCGTGTTTTAATCAACTGAAGTGCACACAAGCTGCTACCACCATAGGCACCCCACGACACAAGTGCTGCAGTGCCTGCTGCCTGTGGGATGGTGGAACCACAGATTAGCCTGGTTTAGAAATGACACCCATGGCTTCACTGAGCTCCAAAATCTGCCCCTCTGAAGCTGACTGGGATTGAAAAGCACAGGATCAATAGGAAGTAACTGTGTGTTAGCACAAAACGAGCCCAGGAGAGGGGAAAACAAGGCTATCTTTCTGGGAAGTACTCTGCTTCACCACAGCTGCTTTAGAATAAGCCACGAGTCAGAGTTCAAACTCCCTCAAATAGATTGCATTAAACTATTAGAAATTGCATGCTTGGTAGTGGTAGGACCGAAACAAAAAGCTAAGAACCCAGGAAAAATGTGTTACCTGATTTACAAGAGGAACTCACCCATGAAAGAAGGCTCAAAGAGACTAAAAAACCCCAACCCTTGGCAGTTTGGTGAACTTCTTATGCCTTCCCAAAATAGGGGGGAAAGGAAGATCTTTATCAAAGAGTCACACTTAACTCCTCAGAGCTCCAGAGGGCTTTGGAGCCTGGGAAGCAGCCACAGAAACATTCCCTCTTTTCCACTCTGTGCAGAGGAAATAACCCTCAAACCTGCCTTTGACAAGGGGGTGTATCATTAAAGCAAAGCATTCCCTGTAGGAGTTTACCCACCTGTGGGAGGTGACCCCACACACCCACAGCCTCACTGGGGAGAAATCAGATTACACAGAGTCGCTGGACAGCTTTGCTTCTTTCCTGATGCAGTTTCAGATGTGCCACTGCTTTGCTAACCCTTCTTTACTTGGCCTCATTAATTCATCTGTATTAAAATGAGATCCTGGGTGTGTAGCTTTGATGGAACTTTTGACAGCATTTTTCCTAATGAAATAAACTACAGATTTAAGGTAGAAGAAGGGTATGGACATAGCATATAATTAAAACATACACACATGTAAGGTCTGTTTTATTAATAAGGCCTCAATTTTTTTAGAAAATGCTTTCATTTTAGAGGGTTTTATATTTCAAAAGTATTCCAAATGTGTACACTACATCTGTATTTTAAATGTAAGTAAAACCAAATCATTTAAAGGTAGCAATCTTCAAAATAAATAAGTTTTTTTAATGAGTAATTGAATTCATATGTGTGAACAAGTGGACACCAGAGTAAGTTAGGATCAGATGATCAGATATGGGCATGTCCTTTATACTGTACAAGCTAAGAGATCATTTTAAATTACACCAAAACAAAAACAAAAACAAAACAAAACAAAACAAAACAAAACAAAAAAAAACACACCTCGAAAAGAATTATCTGACCAGTATTTTGGGAAAAATCATTTTCAAACTAGACTTTTTTCATGCTTGTCAGAATTCTGAGTACTGACCTATTACTCATTCTGCAATTAAGTACATGTTATTGTCTCTGAGCAAAGATCTAACATGTGTGGATAGGACACGAGACATGAAGTGACAGAAGCAGCCCTTCCAGAGGACGTCTCACAGATCCATCCAGATGAAGCAAACAAGTGCACACTGTGTACAGAAGCCCCGTAAGGGATGAGTTGCAGATGCAGACTTGAAGTTATCATTTTTATTAAAAAATATTTCAGCTGTAGTTGAGTCTCAAAGTGGAGAAAAACACCAGAGGCAAAACAAAATTAGGTCTTGAAGCAGAGACAGAGGAGAAGGCGGAGAGGTAAAACTGTATAACGTTACACGAGGAAGATAAAGGCCATTTTATTGTGTTGCTGGTAGCATTTGGAAAAGAAAAAAAAGAAAGAAAAGCTCACAGTGGGTTTCACTACATGGTAGGACTGGATGGAGAATGAAGCTCGTATTTCATGAAAAACAAAAGCAGATACAAAATACAGGCCAGGCTCAGGTCTGGAAAATCATGGTCACACAAGGGGAGGAGAACTTAAATCACACACAACTGATAGAAGGATTCTGTCTCTCAGCTCTTCCCTTTGTGTTTGAGCAGCCCTGAGATGTTGGTCATCATCATGTCTGGCACCAAACATTTCTGAATCAGTGCCCTCAACTGGGTGCAGCAGACACCAGGGGTTTATTTAAGGCCAGAAATATTCCCATTTTGGCAATAGCATCGTGGCAAGAAACATGGATAGTAAAGATGTACCATAACATTAAATTTGGATTTTGATTAGTATAGTAGATCTGTGCAATCTAACTTCCCCAAGTTCACTGCACTTAAGAGGGTTTTTCATGTAGATTTAAATTTGAAGTGACAGACTGTATCATGAGAAAGACAGCTAAAAGGAGCCAAATTTAGATGTCACAAATTCAGAAAACATTGAAGAGATTGGCAAGTGCTTCTCCAAACATTTACATTAAGCATGAATTATTGTTCTGATTACATCTTAAAGCCAGTAAATGAAAAAAACATCTTTTTAAATGGTTACTCATCTCCTACTAGCATTTTTTTATTTTTTAAAGCACTGCATATCAGTAGAAAGTATTAATCTCTCACATAAGTTACCTCTATGAAACACTACTACAAAAACATAATTAGTCAAAATTAACCACAAAATAGCTGGGTCTCATGCCTGCTCTTTGCAGTTTTGTGGGATTTTTTTAACAATTCTTAGTCATGGCAGAAACATACCAAATTTAACATAATTTGCACAAAGTGTGTGGGTTTGCTACAAGGTATCACAGCTCCCCTTCAGTCAGGACAAATGACCACAACTGGAAAAAACTAACCCTGACTTTTACAGTATAATTTGGACATAGCAAGTGCTCCAATATTTGTATCTGATTCCATCCAAGGTACTTGCTGCTTTCTGATAAGTCTTTCCTCACCTGTTTATGTTTCCAACTGTTAAAAGCTCAAAATGCTTCTGGAAAGGGAACAGAATTGTAGAACTTCCCCATCTTATGAGTTAAGCAACTACTCCAGTGAATTAATGATGCCTTAGAGCAAAGGCCAAGCAGCTCAAATGGCTTAAAATTATGCCCTTGGGGTTAGCAGGACAGAAGAGGTTACATCTGCTGAAAAATACAATATTCTCATGGTATAAACAGATCACCCACACTCTAATATCAATGCTTTCAGAGTGCTGTGCTCAGGTTTTGCTGGGTTTTTTGGACAGCAGTTTCCTGTCCTGCATTGCTCTGTAGCATATCACACAACAGAAGAATAAATGTGGGTTTTTCAACTGATCACATCAGGGACTGGATAACATCTCAGTAGCATCTGCTAAAGTCTGGTGCAAAAGCATCAATTTGAATCCTCCAGAACCCACAGAAGGATGCTAAAGGCCAGCTCTGTTTCTATTTAGTATATACCTTCCTACTTTAATTTGCAGCTGAACACTTCTGAGAAGCAGGTAGGAGAAGGCTTAAGACTCCTTCTGTAAGATGTCTAGAACGTATTTCTGATAAAAATAATATGCCCTTTACTCCTAGTAGGCATAGAATCACAATACCCCACACCACCTTCAGTTGAGTTTATTGCTAATAAGTTGCTGCAGTGGAGTTAAAGCTCAAACATAAACCAAAAGCATCATGAACACTGTTAAATGAGCTCTTAGAGCACAGAAATAACCACAGCAATTTTACTTAGGCTCTACTACAAATACCAGTTTGTAGATCTGATTTAAAAGACAAAGCACGACTGATCACCTAAGCTACTTTAACTGCAATAAGGTGCAATGTGAACTATCCTGCAAGGTGCTTTCCTAGTACCACAAAAATCAACCTGATGGGTCTGAGCCATCCCAGTGGTGCTTCTACTTCATCCTGGATTTGTTACCTTTACCTGTAACAAGTCCAAAAGGCTGTGGATTCATCATGCAGACTTATTAAACTGAGGTTTTCAAGCAACAGTGACAGCAATGATAACAGTTTGATCAGTTGAAAAGCCCCAAACAAATTTCATAATTAAGTTGTGTTTTCCGTTATGCATTCCTCTATTATAAAGTTATAGTTAGCAGAGGTTAGGAAGAGTAAAGAGATCCTACACACCTGCTAAAGCTGTCATCCTGGATTTTCACATCTTTATTATTCTATTTTCAGGTAAACATCACTGTGAAAGCCAGAAGATTAGACAAAACACAATTTTGTACTGTTTGTCTCTCCAGAAGTCTGCAAACATTACCTCACTTGTACATAGCCCCACTGTGTGCTGCTGTGGTTTTACAGCAGAGGAGAGTGCTCCATGTTACCATGATTAATTACCATACTATCCAAAGTTGCAGGGGGAGAAACCATACATTTACTTTTGGCAAATACACAAAGAACAGCCTTTTTTAAAGGCTCTAACCTGGAATCGTGGCTTTCTTGTTCTGCAACTGGCCTTTAAACTGGGGTTAAGCAATCACTTTTCTCCATCTCAGTTTCCCCGTCTGTAAAAGGGACATAGAGACAATCACTCCATTTCACAATTTTTATGACATATGTAAATAAAGAGGCCTTCCAAGGAGTATTGTTACTATGAAATATACATTAATTATGATTCACCATTGGTCTGTTTATCATTGCATTAACAAAACTTGTTCCTGTTTTCCTTTTAGCTACCAGAGGACACACTGGTATCAGTCTAGCAAAAAAAGAGAAACTAATGGGTTTTTTTATTTCTAAATAATTACTTTACTTTCTTTCTTTGTTTAGGGATAAAATATAACATGGGATTCCAGCAACCAAAAAAAGTAAGTTTTCAGAAGTACATAAGGAAAATTGTATCCATATTCCAAGTATGGAGTAGATAGAGATGGCTCAGATAAGGCCACTACACCAGAGACGAAGCACTGAAAAGGAAAGATGCATCAAAAGCTTTGCCATGAAATGCAGATTTTCCTTTTAAAATATGAATGTGATAAGCTACACAACTTTAGTTTTATAAGTTTTTTTTCCCTAGGCTGAATATTGGTAAAAGAGACTGTAAACTTTGCCTATAATAATATTCTGTATGCAATGGTACTGATCAAATGAATGTCTTGAGGTACCTAAAAACAGGCTGAAGAAGAATCCTGGTGAAATTCCCCCATCTAGTGGCTGTCGGCACTGAACAGCTGCCACGATTTCGTGGTTAAAGGACAGGTACAAAATATGCAGAGGAAAACTGTGCAGCTGCCAGTTCTTCCCCAAATGCCACGGCCCGTGATCGACACCACCCCACCTCTGCAGCTCCAGCCTGGCCTTCTGACACAAGACATTCAAATCATGGCGTTTGAGTTTCCCAAAAACTCTGGGTTCAGCAGCATTAAAGGTCCACATTTCTAGGAAGTCTGAATTTGATAATCTTGAAATATCAGCTGTGTCATGAGTAAACGTGGAATTGAATTACAACCACTCTGCAAAGGGTAATATTTAGAAATAGATCTGGTATTTACAGGCACATGGACTATGGCTACCAGCAACAATGTCTGAAGATAAGAGCAGAGTACAACAATCACTCCCAACAACTGAATAGTGTCTTGCATGAGAAATTATCATATCTGCACATCACATACCACCTTCACCACCACAGCCAGCACGAGAAACCTGAATTCTGCAACAGTACCCTAAAACTTGTGTTTAATACTGATCTGTTGTGCTTGAGTTTTGTATAAGTTATCAATTTAAGCAAGTCACCTACAAAATAATACATTTTTTTTTCTTTTGTCACCAGTGCTTTTTGTGATGAGTATTGAACCTCTTTTCTGAGACTTGTTTAATGTCTGACCCTTAAACAAGAATGTGACAAGATGTAACCTCCATGACCGCAAAAGTTTGTTACCTATAGCACTGGCTTTTTTTCAGCCAATAAAGACTTGTAAAATTGATTAAGATTTAATCTGCCACCTTGAAAGAGCATGACCTTTCTAATCCCCATACTGTACGCCTTAAAATTTGCAAAATACCTTTTTTTAGGCCAGTTTTAAATACTACTGGGAAAAAATAAAGACTGAAAATCAAAAATTTAAATCTATAAAACCTCTAAATAACCACTAAGTCCTTAGGTCAGCAATAAGCATTCTGCAACTACATCTGCTCCTCTGTTGAAATACTCCCTGGTGGTTCATATGCCACTCTGCTCCCAGGTGTCCTCAACACAGGGATGACATGTACTTAAACAGTGTCCAGAACCTAATTTTAGTCTTAGAGGCATAGACTATACAGGATTTAATTCGGCTGCTTTGAGAAGCAGAAAGTAATGGAGCACATCTGGGCTTTGAGCCAAAAGAAGTATTAACCAGCAAGATCCCCCTAATGAAAAAGAGCAGGTCCCAGAAACCCTTATCCATAGACCTGCTTTACTTACTCAGCTTTCACTTGCCTAATCCCAGCCAAGCTTCATTCCCACCCCTTATTGCCTCTCATCAAGTCTCTCTGCTCTGCTCCCAGGCTCATCTCCCTCAAGGCTCCCTTTGGGGTGCCCTTCATGCTGCCCTCACAAAACCCACTTCCTGCATGCCAACCCTCCAACTTCTCACTGCAGTCCTTTCTGCTTCCCTCTGCCTACTCTTCCTCCCTCTACATCTTCACCTTACCAGCTCTGCAAACCTCCTCCCTTCCCTCTCAGGCTTCACTCTGTGCAAAACTGCCTTCACTGCAAAGATTAACTAATCTTTGGGGGGGGGTCAGGGTGGGAAACACACCACACAAACAAACAACCCCTTCGATTCGTGTGACAACAGGAGCAACTAAACAAGTCCTCAAAATACTCAGATACTTTTTGAAGAAATTTCAAGGACAACTCACAAGGACAAAAGCATCTATGACAGTCTGGGTGCACCACCTAAAACACAGTTAAATCCAATTCTGAACTGGAAATTACCAGTTCAGGTTCATCTCAGCCTTTGAGTTTCATGTAAGCACAGAACAGGGTGACAAGAGCAGAGCCCTTATCACACTGCAGGCACAGTGCTGAGGGTTTGTGGCAATGCATTTTGTTGTACAGTTCTGCTGAACTCAGAGTGTATGAAAGATCCACGTGAAGTTGTGCAAGCTGTTAATGGTGACAGTCTCTCGTTTACTAACATCTTTAATCTCTTTTTCCTCATCAGGACTGTGTTCCCAGTAATAACCAGGATAGAAGATTAAGAAAAAATACTGCAGATGGAGCAGCACCAGTAAAGCAGAGCAACTCATTAGAGCCATCTGAAAGTGTGCCCACCAAGCTTCAAAGCACAGACAGAAGGCAAAGCAGCATCATGTTTGCTATGAAAGATCAACAGAAAGGTGAAGAAACTGATGCCATCAGGCTCCATAAACGCAGGAGGAGGTTTATAATTAAAAAGAGCCCAATTCTGATTTCCATGAACAGCTCTGTTCTCAACCTGCCCACACTCAAATCTGAGGACAGAAACAACAACAAGTGGAAAAGTCTCTATCAGATCCAAGGAGAAAGGAAGCGGATTATGAGGGAAACTTGTTCAAAATACAAGAGTAATAACAGAAGAATAATCACTCCTTATCATGTCTCTAGGATATTTGTAGAAGATAAATACAGAGTTTTATACTGTGAAGTACCAAAAGCTGGCTGCTCTAACTGGAAACGGGTGCTCATGGTGCTTAATGGCCTGGCTTCTTCCACAAAAGATATCCAGCACAACACCGTGCACTACGGGAACTACCTGAAAAGGCTGGATGGGTTTGATCACAAGGGAATTTATCACAGGCTCAACACTTACACAAAGATGCTGTTTATTCGTGAACCTTTCGAAAAGCTGGTGTCTGCATTTCGGGACAAGTTTGAGCATCCAAACAACTACTACCACCCGGTGTTTGGAAAAGCCATCATTTCCAGATACCGCGTCAACGCCACCAAAGAAGCACTGAGGACAGGCTCTGGAGTCAAGTTTAAGGAGTTCATTCAATATCTCCTGGATGTACATAGGCCAGTGGGCATGGATATACACTGGGATCACGTCAACAGGCTTTGCAGCCCGTGTTTAATAGACTACGACTTCGTGGGGAAATTTGAAAGTATGGAAGAAGACGCAAACTTTTTCTTGCACTTAATTGGTGCTCCACGAAATTTAACTTTCCCCAAGTTTAAAGATCGGCACTCCAATGAAGAAAGAACTACCACTAAAATTACACAACAGTATTTTGCACAGCTTTCTCCTGCCCAACGACAACAAAGCTACGACTTCTACTACATGGATTACTTGATGTTTAACTACTCAAAACCTTTCGAAGACTTATATTGATTTGAGAGTCGGGACATTTCCACAGTCACATCAGTTGAATTGTATAACAAATCCAGGTGGTTTCTGTTTATATACACTTATGTGTTAGTGAACAATTGGTTGAAGAGCAGGAAAAATCCCAAAATAGAACATAAACAGATGTTTACACCTTCACCTTAATTGCCTCCTTTTTCAAATCATATTTTTTCTATAATTTCTCCATATGAAACGTATGTACATATATATATAATATGTTAGGGTGCCCAAATAAAGCACAGAATTTTCCATGCTGGTGTGGCCTGTGTTTGCACCGGGAGGACAGTTTCAAACCAGGGAAACACAGCTGGCAATCCCACAGTGGAGCCAGTATTTCAAGCCCTTTGCTGTTTAGAAAATAAGTCTGAAAGTGACGGAGTAGCAAGGAAAAAAATACACTAAGTAATATTTACAGTTTGTTGAAATCTGCAAGGCATGAAGCCATACACTAAACAGGCACTATGTGTTTGAAGCTGGATGCTGATTCCTACTTCCTCATGCTCATAAGTTAGTTAGGGAGAAAAAGTCTAATCATACTCCCACTGTTCAAAAACACACTGGTGAAAACAACTAATACTTAATGACCATGTGAGAGCAGTATTAAACCAGATGTTGCAATTCGGAGTGAGGATGTGTTCTCCCCCTTTGATATTTCCCTTATGGCACATTCATCTGCAAAAAGATAAAATGCAGGCGAACATTTGCATCTTTATAAGTGTTATTAAAATTCTTTTAATCCTTTGCATTAACATAAATCTCTGGTTTAATCTTCATAGTCACCAGGAATATCAAATCTTTCCCTCATAATAACAAGCAAGAATAAATGCCACTTCCTGCCCAACAGGGTAATTCTTTTCATTGCTGGAAACGCTTTGCGCTTGCTTATTTTAGTAACAATTAGATCTGACTTAACATGTAAAAAATATTCCAGGTGTTTTAGTTCAGTTGTTCATTTTCTGTACTTGAGAAGACTTTCTCTCATCTCTAGCAGAATGCCTCGTGAGAATCAAATACTTGACCTTCCACTAGCTCTGTAAATGTTCACACATTCTGTATACAGAACCCTTCCTCACACATCATTTATCCACTTGACAGGATGACATTTAAACTGGTCATACTGGAACAAGGATCAAACTCTGCCACAGTGCCAAACCTGGGCTCCCCGGTAATTTCTAGAGTTTGTATTTCACAATCAAGAACACACACAGGCACTGCACAAATGTAAACACCCAAGAAACAACACTTGTTTCAATCTGTTCCACGCTTCCGGGTTCAGATCCTCGTACAGATGTTTCATGCATTGGCATCAGAGTTTACCCAGACACATCCAATATATTTTTGGGGTTTTAAAAATTTTAATAGGGAAAAAATTGTTTCTAAATACTTTGCAGTGAAAGCTTTACTGACAGATACTTCACATGTCATATCTGACATCACACTTTCCACCGTTGTTCAGAGAAAAATTGGTTGCATTAGAAAGGTATTGTTGAACTTACAAAGGTATTGTTGAACTGTTCCATGAAACCAGTTACCCTTCCCTGTCTGCCCAAACTCTTCATCACTGCTGCAGCAGTTAACCACCTACCCATCCCACCTTCTCACCCACTCAGAGACCTGTTGATCTGCTCACTTAACTACAAAACAGCCTTTTTATTCAAGGTTCTTTTTCTGCTAGTCCAGCTCAGTCCAGCAGTAACAGTCTGGGGGCTATTGCCTCATCCAACAGGTCACAGTCAGGAGTATCCAGGGTAAAACAAGGCACATGAATCACTTCCTAGTGCAAACAGAGTGGTGGGATTTACTGGGGCATGAGGAGGCGTAGTCAAGACCACCACTAGGAATCTGAGTTAAGCCATCCTTAGCGTTTAATGATATTAAGTGCTCCAAAAATTGATGGATTCTAATTGATAAATTGATGGCCTGTGGTTACAGAAATCACAGTCATCAACACAAGGGAAGGATATCATGGATATTGTAGCCCTCAGTGCTTTTTTCAGGGTCATTGTACCAGAGCACAGTGTGCTATTCCTGCTCCTGCAGACCAGTGCTGAGTTCATTCCAGTCAGCAGGTGAACTTCCACTGGGAGAAGAATCTCAATTCACATTATTGCAGCACCATTACAGCCAAAGGGAACCTGCAAACTCACAGGTTTGCTCTGTGAGGCAAATCTGGGCATTATTTGCATTCAGACCTCTGCTGGCTTTACAGTGCTCTAAGGGTAGGATTGAGGAGCTCAATCCTTCAGCCAGATTCACATGGAAGACCTGACTCTCCTTCCTCCTCCTCCCTCATCCCAGTTCCTTTTCAGCTTAATCTACACATATACATAAATTCATAGAGTCACAAGGTCACATTTACATCTGAAAGACTTTGTTGGTACATTTACACAGCAGTAAGTGTTCATTGTATGAGTAGAAAGAAATACCAGCAAAGTTGCACTTCTGATTGCATCAAACCGGTACTTTTCCTACCACTACCCCCCATATCCATTTCAGTTATGTTGCAATGAAAGAGAACAACAAGAAAATGACATTTTTAATGACAAATGAAGATGAAGGCTCTGACAGGGTTTTATTTTGTCTGGGGTAACTAACAAGTATTCTTTAAACAAAAACTGCTCAATGATTTGCATGTTTTGACAAGCTGTATATACAGTAACATCTGTTTTACTGTATCTCAAGGAAGACAGAAGTGTGTTTTTAATACTCAATGGTACTTAATAATGGCTACTTGCATTAATTTGGCTTTATTACTTCCATCTCCTATTCCTGACTGGCTGGTAGAAACAAGGCAACAGGTGGTTTAAAAGAAAAAATCTGTAAAGATATATTTTAAAGCCAGAAGAAATGCAATATCTTGAACAAAAAAAAAACTAAGGTAGAAGACAAGTAAACTAATATTTTCGTATCAATCAAAATGTTTAAGTAAAAAGCAACAATTTTGACTAGAAGGTATTGAGTTTTCAGACTGCTCATTTCCCTTTGGATTATCTTGTCTTTTCCTCCACGTATAAGATCTTGGCATTTTCATTTCTGATAATGCAATTGAATTTTTTTAGAGGTGTTCATTCTGAATTCATTCCCATATTTTATCCTTCTCTTCATATAGAAATATTTCATTCCATATGGAAAATTAAAATACAAAAAATCCTATTTTCAGACAAACAGCCTAGCTCAGAGGTCAGCCAAGGTAAACATCAGACAAAGTAATTTTGTCAATCCAATTGGTTTTTTAATTTTTCTTGATGCATCTTAGGCAAGAGGTGAATTCTGTTGCTCCTGGACTGATTAAGGCAAGAGCTAGGAGTACAGCTCAGTAAAGGGTTTTGCTATTTTTGCTCCTGATCCTTTCCTGCCCTACCTCTCTACTCTCAACTCCTGTTGTCCTAGAACTTTGTCCACCCTAAAATTCGTAACTATGAATAGCTCAGGTACTGACAGCATTCCAACTGCCCCAGCACCTTCCTTCCACACACAGGTTAAACCAACCTGCTTCCAGCTTCCAGTACTGGAGACACTTCACTTGATTCTACCTGGGGCAGCTCTCCATTACATCTGGTGTATTAATAACTCCTAAAATCCATATTTCCCACCTTGGGATTTCAGTGATCAGTATATTAGGAGTAAAACGTTCACAGTAACAATTCAGAGGTAAGGACCCAGCCAAAGCTGTCACAGAAGTTGAGGTGTGAAGGAACACAAACACCAACAGATCAGAATCTCAGGTCTTACACCTCAAAGTAATCTAAACCTACAGGAGAAAAAGGGATTAACACAGGTACAAAAATAAAGTGTGTAAACTAAATAGTTGTTCCTTGAAAAAAAAATTAATAAGAGAGCATTTTAAGATGAGAGACCATATAAACAGAGCCCAATTTCTTAGCCAGCTTTTGCTGCCTTGGCACTCCCAGCTGCCAACTGCAGCCCTGCCATTCCATAGGTACTTCATGAGAACTAAACCAACCAGTCACCGTGCCCAGAGCCAGCCAAGTGAAACTGCTCAACAGTGCAATGCACAGTTTATTATCTGGCTTTGCAAAGTCTCAAACTGAAGACAGCAATAATCTTTTAATTAAAGGATAATTTAAGAACTTGACACTGGGATGCTCTGTAAATGAAATTCATTAAGATCTAAGCAAACTCATCTTCTTTAAGACCTTTGTGTACCTAAAAAAGTCATCCTTGCAATGTGCACAAATGGAGTGATGGTGATTTGCTGGTTTTTGTATCACAAAAGCCCCCCCAGTACAGCAGCTATTTACCATGGTTGACTGCACACCAGTGGTGTCAGTTTATGGGGGTTTACGCCTCTAAAAATAAAAGAATCAAGATAATAAAGTGAGTTTTCTTAACTCATGTCCATAATTTTTCAGAATTTCCATGATGGGGTTCCAGTGCTTTGTTCCATAACAATCACCAATATTTGAGCACATCAGACTGCACAGTATCAAAAGACAAAATGGATTGAGGATAGATCACTTTTTTTTTTTACCACAGTTTGGACTTAATTGTCTAAAAGGTCTTTTCCAACCTAATTGATCCTGCAATTTGGTTTACTGGTTTACAGCTTGTCTTCATAATGATTGAAGTAAAGAGTTCTTAAAGTTTTTAAAACGTAGGTATTGAGTTCTGTTGATCCCCTTCCTCCCCACCTCATTTGAGCAACTTGCTGAGAAAATTCACTCTTTGGATGACCCAACAATATCTTTTTTGAGAGAGAAGGATCCACAGAGTGAGAGGATGGACATGTATGGACTGCATGTACTACGCAGTACATGACTTTATCCTTAATTTCTTCACACAACTTTTCCTGTTTGGGCAACACCATCTCTGACAGTAGGAGCAAGAGCACACCTATCACAAATCCATGTACAATTATCTGCTTACACACACACATATAAAGTACATAGGAAAAAAACATGCAAAGAGTATTAAACATACTAAGGCATCTCCAAACTTACAAATGCATGGGAGAGATATAATCCCACAAAAATTAACTGGAAAATGAATTCAAGGTCTAGCAAACATATGCATTTGTTTGATAGCTGTTCTTAGTTTCTTTGTACAATAATACAAATTAATTCATCATGAGAACTCAAATGGTACCACATTACCAGGAAGAACAGATAAAAACTGACTTTTCTTTTTCGCTGTTGTTTTGCTTAACTGTTGTTGCTTTCTTATTGACACAAGTTGCTTTAAATCACTGGGTTGACAGATGTTCTTATTCTACCCCCAACAAGAAATCACA